AAATGACAGATAAAAATAGAAGCAAAATTTAGAATATAGGGGTGGGTATATAGTTGAGCAAGTGTATACAAGGTAGGTTTGTTTGGAGGAAAACAGAGATAGGGACGGTGGTTGTTAAAACGGAAGAGGGAAAGCTGAAGTTTTGGGAAATAAATAAGGGAAGGGGCGTGCAGACCTCATTGAGGCTCCCGATGCTCCACCCTCAATACACACTCATGCTGCTCTCTCCCAATCTCCTCCAATGCCTCATCCCGGCCCTCTGTGCTGTCCTGTGGCTGCTCTGTCGCCTCCGCCAGCGTCGCAAGCCCTCCCACTCCAACTCTCCTCCTGGTTCCTCCGGCTGGCCCCTCCTCGGCGAGACTCTTCATTTCCTCGCCTCCGCCTACGCTTCTTCCGGACCTCTCTCCTTCATGGACCGCCGCTCCTCCCTGTATGTCTCTTCTCTCTCTCTCTCTTTTCTTTTCCTTTTCTCTGCTTTCCTCCCGCCTTTGATCCAACCATCAGCTTCCTCTTCCTTTTTTTTCCCCTTTTTAGCTGTCATACAGATCATCACTGGCCGCACACTTTTGTCTTCCTGGTCCATAACTAATTTCGCATCGCACCGCCAAGATCTTCCGTTCAATTACAATTTTCCTCTGATTTTATCTGTAAATATTGCAGTACACCTTCATTTTTCTGGACCACGAATTTATCGCATAATTTTTCCTACATGAGCAATATACACCTGCATATTTGAAAAGCAAACTCCATGTCCATCACTTCATCTGTCAAATTTTTATCATCATACACATCCATACATGCATATATCAATATCATATTAATTTGGTTTCCCATGTGATATTCCATTTCCTCATTTATGAAAAAATTCACTTATAATATTGGTTTTTTTCAACTTTCTCAGGAAGCGGGCCGCTTCCAATTCTTTTTTTTTTTTTTTTCAAGGATATGTAGTATAAATATTAAATTAATGAACGAGAGAGCCATGCATGAATATAAGTTCTTAGTCACTTAATTGGATTTTAAAATTAATAAACATATGGCTATGAATATTAATTTTCACATAATTCTGAAATAATTTTCGGACAATCAAACAATAAAAGGAAACTGAATTCTTCGTTTCTCTAACCTCTTCCGAGAATATATTTTGAAAGTACGAATTACAGGTTTCATTTTAAACTGTAAGAATATGCTGCCATCACGAGGCTTGATTCAATATGAGCTATGGTTCACATGGGGTGGGTGTAACTAGTATAAAAACGCCTTGGAGGGCAGAAGGAACTTGAAGCTGATTCAAAAAATGATCGAGAGGTAGAGGGGGAATTAATAGCAGTAATCGAAACATTAATAGAATAGGTAGAAGCATTTAACACGTACGCTCGTGATTCAATAAATATGGAGTACATTGGGTGTTGCGGTTAGAGAGAAGCATTACCAGACCATAACCGAGGAAGTAAAAGCAGAAAAAAGGCTGCTCCTGCAGTCACTAGGCAGACCTTAGACTTGGCAACTCTGGTTGCTTCTGCAGACCTGTAACTGTATATACTTCCGCAGTCACAAGAGCCAACTTTTCCTTTAGTACTCTTGCTCTTGCATTATTTAATGATGGCATTGAAATATATATATATATATAGAGAGAGAGAGATATATATATATATATATATATATATATACTTTACACACTCCGTGTGCATCCTATCCTATGTATATTTATATAGAGTGACGCTGGAAGTAGTAGTACATTGCAGGTATGGGAGGGTGTTCAGGACGAACATACTGGGAAGTGAGGTGATAGTATCGACAGATGCGGAGGTGAACAAGGTGATATTGCAGAACCAGGGGAACGTGTTCGTGCCGGCATATCCCAAGTCCATTAGAGAGCTGATGGGAGAACACTCCATTCTGCAGATGAATGGCAACCTTCACAGGAAGGTCCATTCCCTCATTGCAGGATTCCTCCGATCCCCACTCCTTAAATCTCGAATCACCGCAGACATTCAACGCTCTGTCACCCATTGCTAGCTTCTTGGAATCACCAACCATTAATATACGTTCAAGATGAAGTCAAAAAGGTCTCTCTCTCTGTCATTACTGTACCAGTAATCACTATTCTTTCTCGTTCCATCCACAGAATGAGTTGGGAAAATTTGCTTGACCTATTTATAAATTATTTTATTAAATTTTTATCAAAATTTTTTTATTTAACTTTTTATTGAATGATAAAGAAAAAATATATATTATTAAAAAAAATTTATATACTTAAACTTATATATTTAAGATGCTTATATCCAATTAAAATAAGACATATGAATCTTTTGAAAATTATTTTTTTATAATAAATTATTGTTATTAATTAAATTAATATATTAAAATCTACATATCATAGTTTAATTTGATGCAAGTATATTAAGTATATAAAGTTAAGTATATAAGTCTTGTTGTATTATTAAAATATGTATATTTAATAAGAACAAAGTTTAAAAATTAACTTTTTATACAAAATTAATAAATTTTAAGATTTTTCTTTATTTTATAAAATATATCAGAAGTGATTTAGTAATAAAAGGAGTAATTATTTCTCCCCACAATGATTCCCCTAATACGTATTCCCCAACCTCACCTTCTTCAATTTTAGTTTCATTCTCATCCTTTGCAACTTTTGGTAATATTCATCCGTCCCATCCATGATCCATCACTTAGCTTTCATGAAATTTAAACTTTTGATGACGTCCTGTGCTATTAATCTTTGCTATTTTACTAGAAAATACATAATTGAAGTGGAAAATAAATAATGTAAGAAAAGTCAATTATATATGTGGGTGTGTAAAAATTAAAAGCATGAATTATTTATATTATTTAGAATATTATATATGATGACACATAATTAATAATACTAATAAAATTAAATATTAGTGACTGAATGAAAAAAAGAGAGGAATTAATAATAAAATGAAGTTAAAAATCTTTTGAATTATGAAAATGGAAGAATTATTTATGATATGTGGGGTTGGCAGATTACATTTACAATTCTGGTGAGAATTCTGATGAGCATGGGTCCGGGAGAAGAGTTGGAGGCGTTGAAGAGAGAGTTCGAAGAATACATAAAAGGCTTGATATGCATGCCCATCAAGTTTCCGGGAACAAGACTGTACAAATCTCTGAAGGTAAAGTGTGGGAAGAGTGATGATGAGGGTAGCGTATATAGGAGGAGGAGTGAGTTTTAATTAATAACGTGAATGGTGGGCGGGCATGCAGGCGAAGGAGAGAATGATGAAGACGGTGAGGAAGATAGTGGAGGAGAGGAAGATGGCAACGGAGAAGGAGAAGGAGAAGGGAGCAGCGAGAGATGCGGTGGACGTGCTCTTAGGGGACAACGGTGAAGATGGAAACTTGCTATCGGTGGAGGCAATAAGCGGCAATATCATAGAGATGATGATCCCGGGCGAAGAGACCCTCCCAACGGCTATGACCATGGCCCTCCAATTTCTATCTCACTCTCCTCCCGCTCTCTCCTCCTTGCTGGTCGGTACTTTTCAATACTTTCCTCCTAATTTTTATTTATTTCTTTTAATTAGTCATATGCATGTTAAGGGGTGGCATGGCCCTGGCCCAGGCCCAGGCCCAGCATGAGGAGGAAAGGGTTTGACCTCTCTCTCGAAGTGAAAGGAAGGGGCACCACTTTTATGATTACTATCCTACGATTTTGGATTGAACGGCTCAGAGTTAAGCCCATCCAATTAACTTACCGCCACTCCCGGACGCCATCCCTCTCCTTTCCTTTTTCTTTTCTGTTTTCAATCATTATTATTATGCTGTTGGCCCAAAAAACTAATCAACGTCATTATATCAGTATATGGATAATTAATTTATATTAAATACATTCATCAAATAATAAATAATATACCTTATCCTTCACATTTGATGTATTTTTATGGCCAAAGACCCCGTATTACTTTTGTTTAAAACAATTTCATCTTCTTCTAAAATGATGCCCGCACAGCCGCACCGATGCTTATCCATCCTTTCATGATTTTTATATGAAATATAAAAATATTATTTCTTTTAATACAAATCCATTCTTGGAGATTTACAGTACCTACGAGTCAAGGAAATATTTTTTTCCCATTTGTTTTAAAATTTGCGTTGTATTTAATTTCTTGCCGACTTTTGCGGGTTTTCGGAAATTTCAAATTCCCTTTTCCTGCGTCTTAAATTGTTCAAGTCATTTTTCGGCCGTCTGTTTTTGTTGTTATCTTTTCTGATTGAGTGCTGCCCTACTTTCTTGGTGGCAAAAACTGCAAGACAAGTTGTTGTGATTCAAAGAAAAAACAAGAACTCGTGTGAAACTTGAAATCCTTCACTCCACTCGAAAGCTGAACTGAGATACTAGTGGGCACTAATCGGGTCACTTTCACATGAGCCGACAATGAAAGCTGGAAAATGCTGTACATTTCATTTCCAGCATTCCTTGCAGCACCAGTACACAAGTACATTTCCATATTTACGCAACATGTGTGTGGCAATTTTCAACCCAATCCACGGAAAATTCAGACCATGGCATCCATTATTATTTATCATTAATCGCGGTCTCAGTATTCTTCATCTACATATCCGAGTTGGAAGTAATCAATTCACCCTGACTTTTCTCGATCGGCTTTATGTTGATTGGCAGGAGGAAAACATGGAACTGAAGAGGCAGAAGGCAGATCGCGGTGATGATTATGACTGGAATGATTACATGTCCCTGCCATTCACTCAAAATGTGAGTCTCTCTGGAGAAAAAGAATTAAGCATGGTTTTCAACATAAATTAAATGATCGGGACTATTAATTAATTGATGCCATCATCAGGTGATAAGTGAAACTCTAAGACTGGCGAATATTGTGAATGCCATCTGGAGAAAAGCAACCAAGGATGTAGAAATTAAAGGTGAGTCATATGCATACATGTGTATACACTATATAAATATATATATATATATATATATATTAAGGAATGATAATGTATGTGGGTGCGTGAAAGTGAAGACTGTGGGTTGCGTGATATTCAGGATACGTAATTCGGAAGGGGAATTGTGTGGTGGCATCTCTAATGTCAGTTCACATGGACGGAAGGATATATGAAAAGCCATACGAGTTCAATCCTTGGAGATGGGAGGTACGTGAGCGTGATAAAAGCCAGGTAATATAAATATGATGAAAAATGATAATGAGATTAATGTAACGTGTAGAAGGAGCAGAGGATGGAAGGGAGAAGGAAGAACAAGTACGAGTACAGTCCGTTCGGAGGAGGGCAGAGGCTGTGTCCGGGGCTGGAAGTGTCGAGGCTGGAGCTGTCCATATTTCTGCACCAGGTGGTGACCACCTACACGTGGCATGCCCTGCCCGATCACATCTGCTACTTCCCCACGGTGAAGATGAGCAGGAAGCTGCCAATCAGCGTGAAGCCTCTGGTGTATAATTGAGGGAGGTACGTTAGGCATAGCGTCACATCCGCCACCCAAAAAGGTAATGAATGCATGTGCTGCTTCCTTTCTCTTCAATTCACTGCTCCTCATCTCCGTCATATAACAATACCCCCTCGTACATATCCATCCATCAATGAGTACTTGTATGTGCCTCTTGTACTTCCTCCCATTCCTTCTTTGCGTCATTGCGTGTTCCTTGTGCCTCGTATTGTATTTGGCCCCATTCTCCATCTTGGAAATTCTCTTCTCTGTGTTTATTAAATGTGAGTGTGACTGTGAGTCTAGACACTATATGTATATATGCGTGTGTGTGTGTAAGGCTACATAGGCAAAAAGCGGACCGTAACTGTGTGTTTATAATTATATATAACACGTGAGCTTTAGAATCGGATCCTTGATGTGAACGTGAATTGTGAGCCGTCAATTCAGTCAAAACATAATCTATATATATATATATATATATATATATATTCAATTGTTTAGATATGATTTTGATTTTTGAGTGAGAGGAATATTTTCTAACGTCTTTCTTTCTTTATATGTAAGGAAAAAAAATGCAAATTTGATCCTGTAATACTTTTATAAAATATTTCTTCACTCCTTTAATCTTAATATTATTAGTTTCTTTTTTTTCCCTGATTATTATTAGTTTCGAATGATACTTTTTTTGTGTGTCAAACATTAATATTTTAAAATTTTAACTTAATATATCAGTATATCGGAATGTTTTTTCAACATTTAAAATTTTAATGTTGGCATTGTTCATAAAACTAATGGTATTAAGCCTAGAGAAATAAAAAGACATTTTATAAAACTAAAGGATCAAAATAAAACATTGTATAAAATTAAAAAAAATACTGATACATTTTCGCTTTGAATTTTGCTACAAGTGCAAATATGGTATTAACATGACTGCACAAGAGACTTCTGAAAAGGGAAGTTAATCTGTTTTTATAAGTTCATTCCATGAATTTCGTTCTATTTCTGTTGAAACTAATCGTCATAATTCTCATACAATATACAAGGACAAGAAACTTATTTTTAATTATTTTAAAAAACTATTTTGAGTAGCTCTTGAAAATAAGTTTATGCAATAGATAAGAGAGATTGTTTTAAAGAGATATGATATACAAAAATATCATAAAATTTTAAAAATAATATAATAAAAAATGATTTTTATAAAACTAAAATCAAGAAAGATATTATCAAATTTAAAAATAACTAATTAATCATTACCTTTTGTTATGGAAACCAAATATAAAACAATATCCAATCTTTATAAAATAAATTTCTTTTTATAAAATTTTTAAATTACTTAAAAATTACTTACTTTTTAAATTTAAAAAAATGGGTCCTAAATCTAGTCAATATAAATGAAAAATCAAAATTATCAAATATAATTCTTTATACGAAAAACAGTAAAAAAAATTCTAAAATGATTTATAGAGTTGAATTGGAATGGAAGCGTATCAATTCTCCCAGACCATGAGGCTTGGTGCATTCAATTTGGACATGGGCCCAAAAATGTATAAATCTGGGGCATTACATACTCGGGCCTCAGTTGTTTTGCATCAGTACACACAAACTATCATAAAGCCCAATGTTTTACACTTTCCATCTCTCTTCGGGTACCTCCTTCAGCTTCTTGCTTTTGATGTTGCTGCTATCACATCTCCCAAAACACTGAGAATCCAGCCCCGCGTTAGTGCATTTTTGTTGGAAATGCAGAATGCCGTGCCTTTGATTTTTTTTCTTTTTCTTTTTCTGACTTCGGTGCTTTGATTCCGATCCTCACTTTTTTAATGCGTCTTATTCGTTCAAAGATGCTTGCACCATGGATGCATCTCTTTTAAAAGAAAAAAAAAATTACAAAACAAGTGAATACAGAAGGGAAAACTAAGATCATGTTTATTAATGAAATAAATTAAAAAAATTAAGATAAAAATAAACTCAATCACTTTTTCCTCATGATAAATATAATAAAATTTATTAGTATATATTATAAATGTAAGAATCATTATACCTTTTAAAAATTTTATAAATTATGATTTCTAATCTCATGAATTAAATTACCCTTTTTCTTTATAAATAAAATTATTTATTTCTTTTGATCATTTTAATTTTATTTTTATTTTTTAATATATAGTAAGCAAACATATCCTAAAGGTAAATCCAACTAACCTGGTACCCACAAAGCACCGTTCCAAGCCCCTAAAGACAATCTAGGTAAAAGTTCAATAAACACATTACAAAAGTAATATAAAAAGCCTATTAATATCATAAAGCATAACTTGAAAGGCAGCATCCTTCGTGGCCATTATGGATGCATCTCTTTGAACTTTGATGGATTTCCGATTAACAACATCTTTTCATTTTGTTTTATAATTTATTTGTAATAAATCAAAATTTTCATATCCTTCCCTTTTAATTTTCCCTGAGGCACAATTCTCCATATGCTTCTCGATCCGTCTCCGCTCTCCTGCCTCGCCCTCCCATCTCCGTAAGATTGATTTTGATTATATTGTAATATTAATAACTTATATTAAATTATTATTAAATTATTATTATTATTATTATTAGTATTATTATTATTATTATTATACTACAATATAAATGTACTTTAAATTTTCATATTTATATATTTAATAAATATATTAAAAAGTTAAAAATACCATGTGCAACTTTATCAATATTTAAATTAAATTATAAAACTTGTGTCCCTTTTTATAATTTATGCAGTTAAAATTAATTTTCATCCAAACATCTTCAATTTTATCATAATGATCCTTAATCATTCAATTTTTTAGCATTAAAATTTCTGTTGTCGTTAAAAATATTGTATATTTGAGATGTATTTATTTTGATAACTAAAATCCAGTACTAAAAAAAATTATTTTTATAATGTTAAAAATATTTTTATTTTATTTTATACGTTAAATTCTCAATCAAAATTTCTCAATCATTCAGTTTGAATATCCCAATTAAACATGAGATTCATCAATAATTAAATTTAAAGCAAAATCCTAAAGTATTGTAATCATCTGCTATATATTTCTGCCTTCACATTGCCCTGTATATACACTAATTTAGTATTTAAAATAAACATAATATAATTATTAAAAATATACATTTTCTCTATTTTTTTTAAGAACTACAATATATATATATGAGTTGCTCATTAAAATATAATAATGAGGGTGCTTTATAGTTTTGAATTGATAGATTATCGCATGCTGCTGGAAAACCTCCTGAAGAAAAGAAGTGACCAATTTACTAATTTAATATTTTTACATGAAATCTTATTTATTGTATATGTTAAAATTAACCGTAAATATCAGCTTATATTAGATATACATATAGTATTATGAGTGTCTTGCAAATCCAATATACGAAGACAGTATTATGAGACTTCTGAAAAGGAAAGTTAATCTGTTTTATAAGTTCATTCCATAAATTTCGTCCTAATTCTGTTGAAACTAGTCGTCATAATTCTGATACAATATAACACGCAAATGAAAGCTCATCAACCAGAATTGAATTTAATAGTGTCAAGAATTCTAATTTTATAGATCATGGACTGTTTGCCTATGTTTTTCATTTTAAAATATATATACATTAGGGCACATTTATTTTATAAAGAAATCACTCATTTTATGAAAAATTTTATTTTATGAGCTTTTATGATGGTTGTTTAGACTTTTAAAAATAATCAAAATCAAAAATAAAAAAAATTAATTGTTTTAAGAAACTACTTTAAATAGCTCCTGAAAATAATTTTATATAGTAGATGAGAGAGATTATTTTAAAGAAGTATGATGTACAAAAATATCATAAAATTTTAAAAATAGTATAATAAAGAATTATTTTTATAAAACTAAAATCAAGAAAGATATTATAAAATTAAAAAATAATTAATTAATAATTACTTTTTGTTATGGAAACCAAAAATAAAATAATATCTAATCTTTATAAAATACATAAAAATTACTTACTTTTTAATCTTAAACAAAAAGGTCCTAAATCTTGTCAAGATAAATGAAAAATAAAAATTATCAAATATAATTCTTTATACGAAAAACAGTAAAAAAAAAAGTCTAAAATGATTTATAGGGTTGAATTGGAATGGAAGCGTGTCAATTCTACCAGACTATGAGGCTTGGTGCATTCAATTTGGATATGGGCCCAAAAATGCATAACCCGGGGCATTGCACGCACGGGCCTCAATTGTTCGGCATCAGTTCGCACAAACTCTAATAAAGCCCAATGTTTACACTTTCCATCTCTCTTCAGGTATCTTCTTAATGTTGATGCTATCATCTCTCCCAAAACGCTGAGAATCCAGCCCCGCTTTAGTGCATTTTTGTTGATTTTTGTTCTGACTTCGGTACTTTGATTCCGACCCTCACTTTTTTTAATGCGTTTTATTCGTTCAAAGATGCTTGCACCATGGATGCATCCGTTTTTTTTGTTTTTTTGAAAAAAAATACAAAACAAGGGAATACAGAAGAGAAACTAAGGTCATGTATGCTTTCTAAAATATAATAAAATAGAATAAATTAAAAAAATTAAAAGAAAAATAAATTCAATCACCTTTCCGCCTATATAAAACGCATTAATATATATTACAAACGTGAGAATCATTATACTCTCTAAAAATTTCATGATTCATAACTTCATTAATTAAATTACCTTTTTTTTATAAAATTGATCATTGATCATTTTAATTTTATCTTTTCTTTAATATATTTCATTATATTTTGTTTTAATAAACAAACGTAACTTAAGGGTAAGTTCAACTAACTTGGAAGAACTAGTTCCCACAAAAGCACTATTCCAAGCCCCTAAGGACAATCAAGGTAGAAGCACGAGAAACACATTACAAAAATAATATAAAAGCCTATTAATATCATAAAGCATAACTTGAAAGGCAGCATCCTTCGTGGCCATTATGATGGATTTCCGATTAACAACATATTTTCATTTTATTTTATAATTTCCTTGTAACAAATCAAAATTTTCAAATCCTTCCCCTTTAATTTTCCCTGAGGCACAATTCTCCGTATGCTCCTCGATCCGTTTCCGCTCTCCCGCCTCGTCCTCCCATCTCCACGTGCACCCAATCCTCTCCGCAAGATTGATTTTGATTATACTGTAATATTAATAACTTATATTAAATTATTATTAAAAAAATTAATCATTTAATCTTTATAGTTTTAATTTAATTATAACTTAATTCCTGACTCATTATAACTTAATTTCTAAAATTTTAATTCGATTAAATCAG